AGCCTTTTCAGGTCGACCTCTTTCCCTTAGGCTCTTCCATGTTTTTTCTTGGTTTAATAAATCCTTTCTTTTGAGGGATGATTAATATTGCATTGTCTGAATGTATGCAGTTCATCCATTTTCCTACTGAAGGATATCTCAGTGGCTTCCAAGTTTGGGCAATTATGAAGAATGTGCATGCACAGGTTTTGTGTGGATATTAAGTGTTCAATTCATTTGGGTAATCACCAAAGAGCATAATTTCTGGATCATAGGGTAAGAGTATAGTTAGTTTTGGAAGAAACTGCCAAACTGTCTTCCAAAGTGACTGTACCGTTTTGCATTTTCACTAACAATGAGAATTCCTGATGTCTGCGTCCTTACCAACATTTGGTGGTATCTGTTTTGGAATTTGGCTATTAGAATATGGGTGTTGATTCTATGTTTCTACTAACAGTCTGTTTAAGGTAGCCTAACTTTTTCCTCATTGCTTTAATCTGCAATTCTTTAACGACATGAAATTAGAGATGCTGAACAACTCTTCATATGCTTATTTGCCATCTGTATATCTTCTTTAATGATGTATGCTAATACACATTTTTAATTACATTTTTCATTCTAATGAGCTTTAAGAGTTCTTTGTGTATTATGGATAATAGTTCTTTATCAGACATGTGCAAAGACTTTCTCCCAATCTGTGGCTTGTCATCTTTGTCTCAAGTGTCAATTGCAGGGCAGATTGTCAACTCATTCTTTCATGGATCATGGGCTTTGATGATAGTCTATCTAAAGAGAAGTTCTTTTTGTTGTTTTTATTGTTGTAACAGGGATTAAACCCAGGGTACTTCACCACTGAGCTACCTCCCCAGCCCTTTTTATTTTGAGACAGGGTCTCAAAATAATCATAAGTTACTTAGGGCCTCACTAAATTGCTGAGTTTGGCTTTGAACTTGCACTCCTCCTGCCTCAGCTTCCCAAGCTGCTGGGATTAAGGGCATGCACTACCTCGCCCAGCAATTTGAACAGCTTTTAAGAATCCTATCAAGGTAAGTCTACTGACAACATACTCTCTCAAGTTACTTGTCTGTGGATGTCTTTATTTACGTATGAAAGATAATTTCACAGGATAAAAATTGGTGGATTTTCCACTTTAAGTATTTTGCTCCATTCTCTTCTTGCTGGCGTGGTTTGGGAGGAAAAATCAGATGTTAGCTACTCTGTAACTATCGAGTGGTTTCCTCCCTCTGGCTTCTTTTGAGATTTTTAAAAAATATTTGATTTCCCTTTTTTATTTTTGAATATACTAGGTATAGGTGTAGTCATTTGGTACTTCTCCTGTTTGCTGTTCTCTGAACCTCCTGGATCTATATCTTTGTGTCTGACATTAACTGGAGGGAAATTCTCAGTTATTATCACCTCAAAACACTTTCTGTTCCTTTCTTTATTCTCCTTTTAATATTCCCATATGTGCATGTTATAATTTTGTAATTGTCCCACAAGTCTGGGTATTCCATTTCTGTCTCTTTTTTTTCCTTCAGAGTTTTCTCTTTGCCCTCTATTATGGAAGTTCCTATTCTCATGTCCTCAAAGCTCACAGACTCTTTCCAGTCTACTGATGAGCCCATCAAAAGCATTTTGATTTCTGTTAAAAGTCTTTGATTTCTGGCACCCTTTTTACTCTTAGAATATTCGWCCTCCTGCTTATATCATCTGTGTTTTTACACGCTGTGCACTTTCTGTGTGTCTTTGTCAGCTTTTTGGCTGCTGTAAGTAAAGGATCTGACCAACACAACTGTAGGGGAGGGCTCACAATTTCAGGGGTCTTAGTCCAGAGAAGTCCAGCTTCATTCCTTGGGCTCGAGGTGAGGCAGAACATCATGACAGGAGAGGGTGGTGGAGGAAAGCAGCTTACATCATGGTGATCAAGAAGCAGAGAGACTGCACACCCCAAATACAGATGCATACCCACAGCCATGCCCCATTCCCACCTCCTCCAGCTACACCTCTATCATGGGATTAAATCACTGATTGGGTTAAAACTCTTACAACCCAATCATTTCTCCTCTGAACCTTCTTGCATTGTCTCACATGTGAGCTTTTGGAGGACACCCTTAGCATAGCTATCATAGTATTTTTAGAAAGATCTTGGTCTGATAATTTCAAAATTCCTATTATCCAACTCGGTTCTGATACTAGTTCTGTCTTCAGTCTTTTCTTTTTTTTATTGGTGTATTATAATTATACATGATGGTGGGATTCATTATTCCATATTCATACATGCACATGAATGTACTTCTTTTAGTATGTAGTTTCTTTTTTTGGGGGGGGGGAGGGACATTATGTGCTAGGTAAAAGCAACTGCTGCACATAGGATTTTGGTAATGTGGTGTAAGATGTGGGGGAGGGAACTATTCTATAATGATTAAGTCTTGGTAAGTCAATGTCCCTGGTTCATGGACTTCACTATTGCTTCTCAGCACAGACCCTGCCCCCCAACAACCTCTCAGGTAAGATAGAATGGTTGGAAGGACCTGCAGTTGGATACTTCCCCTTTCCCAGGTCAGCCAGGCCTTTGTAGAATGGTTTCTCTTGAGGTCAGAGCTCAAGAATAGAATGCTCTTGTATACTTCAAAAATGGTTACTTAATATTTTCCCTGGGGAAGCCCCAAAGGGATCTTTCTCCAACATTTACTGTGAGAACATGATTGAGCTGCTAAAGGTGAACTCACAAAAGGCCATGGTCTCCCCTCTTACCATGTCTCCTGCGGTTTTATCTTTCAGGATTGAGTACAATGAGGCTCCAACAATTTGTCATTTATGGTGCAGATTTTCCTACCCCAATTTGGCCTCCAGAGAAAATTCTGACATGAGTTTCTGCTCCAGGAAGAGGGAATCTGTCTTTGCTGTCTGCTGCCAGCAATCATGGCGGCAGTGTTGGCCCTGTGACCTCATTTCCCTGAGAGATCTAGGAAAATCTGTTCAAACTTTTATTTCTTGTTAGGCAGAGGGATAACGCCAAGGTCCTCAATGCATGACTGCAAAGGGAAAGCCCAGTGGCTCCTTTCTAATTTCTATTTTTTCCTCTCATCATTGCAGTCATATGCCAATTCCGCCACTGGATTTTGGTAGCAGACATGTTTCTACAAGTCAGGTTCCACAGGTTCATGGATGAAAGGGTTTTGCCCCAAGGAGAACAAACACTGCGAATCCTTACTAACAGCAGATTCAGGAGACCACAACCCAGAGTGTGACATTCTGTGGCAGTGAATGGACATGAGAAACAATACACCACAGCATGAGGTTCTGTGCAGTAAGCACACAGGGGAGACTTCATCCCAGTGATACTGAGGACACCCACCACTCACAGCATGAGGTCCTACATCAGGGAGGTGTCAAGGGATGTAGGATACCCTATGTGTCACTCTGATCCGGGTCCTGGTAAATAGATGGGGAGCCATCCAAGCCAGAGACGTGGGACAGATGTGCATCCCTAGGTGGTGGGATGCCAGCAGAGATGAGTTCTTTGCTGTTGGTCAGAGGAAGTTAAGTGGGGCTGGGACTCACTGCCAATGTGTTCTCTAACTGCGGACCACACGCTCTGGGTTGCTGACAGTGAGCTGCACATGCTGCTCACGTGGGGTGCCTGGCAAGAGCGTCTTCTCCATTAGTACTGTCATGCCTGGCAGCATCCCCAGCACTGCCCTACTAGTGGTCTTCTCACCTGCAACTCCAAGCTCTGGAGCTGGCTTCTCCTTGTCTACCCAGGACCAAAAAGTTTCCTGTCAGGCAGTGTCCTTTCAGGGATGAACTAATGGGGAAAACAGGTGGTAATACCTCATATAGGAAACAGTCTATGCGACACGAGAAAAAGGGGTCAGTTTGAGCCTAACACCATAGTTTCCAAATGTCTGCATTTTACACTGTTGTAGCCCTAGACCTGCTCTTCAGGCTGGCTCTTCCTGTGTTGATCAGATCTAACGAACTTACAGAGAGGCTCTAAGGAAAACTCTAGAAGATGTAGGTCTTGGGGCAGGTGCACACTGCCTGTCCCTTTTTTGTCAAAAGTGCACAGAGCTCTCCTTCCACAATACCAGCATTTGATTAACAGAAATGCAGCATTCAACAAGGACGGACCTGGGTCCAGGTTGGACAGGCTGGTGCCCTCCAGGCCTCCTGGTATCATACTGGCACTCCACGTGTAGCCTCAATGTTCTCTGAGAGTTGTTTTCTACAGCCTCTGCATCTCTGACACTCATCCCAGGGCCAGCTCAAGTGCTGCCTCTACAGAAGACTTCATCCTGGGATTCCCAAGTAGAGTCCCTCGAGTCTGGGATCCTCAATGACCCAACATGTGGTTTTCCAGTCACCACAATCCTATCCCTATGGTCACTGCACTGTCACATACTGGAAGAGGCAGCCCATGGTCCAAACAACTTCCTGCAAGGTACTCCTGGGGCCCTACCTGTCATTATCTGAGGGATACCCACAACACAAGCTGCTGTACCCTGAACCTTGAAGGGTCCAACACCTGCTTTCCCCATGCCCATGCTCAAAGCACTAGCCATACCAAAGGTGAATTTCTGCCACCTGGGAGCCGGCTCCTTTAGTGGCAGGGTGTGGTCAGGAGTGCCCATGCACAGGGTAGAAGCTCTACCAGGGCAGCTGTGGTTCTGTGTGCAGCTCCTCCCCCGCATATCCAGTTTTCAGAGGGTTCTGAGAGCTGAAAAGACAACGTGGATGTAGAAATCTGTGGCCAACATGAGAACTGACTGAGCAGAACTTCTGCTGTGCACAGGAGGCCCTGGGTGTTGGGAAGCACCTCCAGGAGCTGGAGTATGGTGCTTTCTCCTAGAACACAAGAGGGATCACTGTGGGTAGCACTCCACCTCCACTCACCGGCCCTTTCTCAGCCTCTTCCTTTATTTTTTTTTAAACCTTCATTTTATTTGTTTTTTATTTTTTTATGTGGTACCGGGAATTGAACCCAGTGCCTCACACATGCTAGGCAATTGCTCTACCACCAAGCCACATCCCTGGTCCCCCTTTTTTTGTTTTTAATTGCCACAATAATGGCACCTATTGCCTTAGTGCCTGCTGAAGGGGGAAAACACCAACGTTTCAGTATGACATTTCAGAACAAGTCTACCATGTGTAATGGTCAGATCAGGGGTAATTAATATATCCATCTCCTTAAACATCCATCAATTCTCTGGGTGAGAATACTCAGAATCACCTCTTCTAGCTGTTTTGCAATATGCTACTCACTAGAGTCACTCTACCATGCAAGAGAACACCAGAATCTTTTCCTTCTAACTAGTTTTGTTCCTGTTTTCCTACCTTCCTTCTGACCCCTGGTAACCACTATCCACTCTACTTCTTGAGATCAGCTTTTGCAGTTCCACATGACCAAGATCACATGGTATGAATAAAGAAACTATGGTGTGTATACACAAAGGAATATTATTCAGCTCCCCCCAAAAGATGAAATCCTGTCACAGCAATATGGATAAACCAGGAGGATGTCATGCTAATGAAATGAGTCAGGCACAGAAATACAGGCACTGCCCATTCTTGCCCATGCAGAGACAAAAAGCTGATCTCATAGGAGTAGAGAGTAGAATGGTGATCACTAGAGGCTGGGGACACAGGGGAGAGGACAGATGGAGGGAGGCCAGATAGCAGGAACTAAAACACAGATAGAAAGGAGAAATCAGCCTTCATGTTCTACAGCCCTGTCAAGTGACCACAGTTCACAACAGTCTGTTATATATTTTAGGAAGAAGAAGAGAGGATTTTGAAGTCTCCTAATACCAATAAATAACAAATGTTTGAGGAAACTGAAATGCTTATTGCCCTGATTTGATGACCACACTCATATACATGTATGAGACTGTCACACTAGAGCTCACTGTTAGCTTTCCACTGCTGTGACACAATGCCTGAGGAAAACAATTTAAAGGAGGAAAGCTTTGTTTTAGCATGGTTTCAGAGGCTTAGTCCATGGTTGGTTGTCTCTGTTGTTTAGGCCTGAAGTGAAGCAGAACGCCATGGCTGAAGAGTAGAGGGAAGGAGCTGCTCAGCTCATTATTGCCAGGACGGTGTGAGGCAGCAGGAAGAGGGGTGTGGTGCTGAGGTCAAGATGCACCATTCCAGGGCACATACCCAGGGACCCACTCCCTCCAACTAGGGCCACCTCCTACAGCTCCACACCTCCCGACACTCTACTCGATTGGAATTCTTCCATCGATTAATCCACTGGTAAGGTCAGAGCCCTCATGATGGGATCACTTCCCAAAAGGCCCCACTTCTGAACACTGAAGCATTGGGGACCATCCATACAGGAGTGTTTGAGGGACATTCCAGTCCAAACCATAACACCCACAAACATGCAGTCATTATGTGTACATTAAATACATAGATGGGTGACAGTGGCCTGCTGTGATGTGGCTTATGAAAGGATCATCTTTCTCTCTCCCAGGGGCCCCCTGGGAGAGGTGTGAGTGTCCTAAAACATAAAACATGAAGGCCAAGAGTAGGATGCAGCTGTAAAACCTATTTTAAAACTAGCTTTTCTGGGCTGGGGATCTAGCTCAGTTGGTAGAGTGCTTGCCTTTCCTGCACAAGGCCCTGGGTTCAATCCCCAGCACCACAAAACAAATACCACCACCCCCACCGCAAAAAATTATCACTTTTTTCCTATTACTGGAGAGACCTTGGGTCTGTCCAGAAGACAGAACTCTGTACTTTTTGTTAAGGGTGCTGTAACTTTTCTCTTGGGGGCAAAGGCCAGGCAGGTGTTTGCTGAGTGCTCTGGAGATGTATTGGACTTCGTAACGTACAGGGAGCGACAAGAGCTGTCCACCAGAGGAAGCCAGAGCAGGATGTGGTGGTGAGTCTGTGGCTGCAGTTCCAGGGCATGTCACTCCAGAGCGTGCCCGTGACGCTGTGATGGAAGAGCAGGAATGTGCAGTCGTGTTCCTTCAGGAGGACTTGGGTATTGCCTTAGTGCCTGCTGAAGGGGGAAAACACCAACGTTTCATGTTGGATAGCTTGGGCTGCAGCCCTGCAATGGCAGCACCAGGCTGGGATCTCACAGCTTCAGGGACAGCAAAGACGGTCATACTGTGTTGGCTACCCTCACCAGGACAGGGCTCTGCCTCTATGCTCATGACACCCAGGAGGCACCTCATATGTACAGTGGCTCCCTCCTTCAGCTGCCCGTCCTGGGGCAAGGTGGGTTCCCAGACAGGACTTCAAACACCCACAGCCCTGGAATGGCTTCCCAGGCCCTACCGCAAGGGACATACAGGCTTGGGAAGTGCAAACCTGGAGGTGCAGTGTGTCTCCTCCTAGGTCAGCCTCTTTATGCGTCGGTTATGCTTGTCCACGGTCAGGGTCGCACGGTCCACGGCTGCTGTGATGCCACTCAGGGCCTCATCCTGCCGCTCTAGCTCCGTCTCAGTGTCCAGCGCCAGCCCCTTCAGCTTTGTCAGGATCTGGGGAGAAGTGCAGATAACACACAAGCAGCTTTCCTGAGGATGTTCAGGAGCACACACACCACTCACAGACCTCAGGAGCTGCATGTGAATGCACGAAGTTTTCTGAGTTGATGGCAACAGAGCCCACAGAGCTAGCTCCTGAGCGTGGCCGCAGTATAGAGAACTCAACCCTGCCAGCAGCCAGCACACAGGACCACTTGGAGAGCTTTCTCTGTCTGCCCATGCCTCTGGCCTTGTGGGAATATCCTCCATGAACGTGGGTGCCTGGGTGTTGTGTCAGGTGGCTGGGAGTGTGGGGCTCAGTCCAGGTTCCTGGTCCCATCCAGTCACCATGTATGTTACCTGTCTGTGCCCATCTGGATGTGGATTAAACAAGACTTAAAAGGAAGAGCAGAGTACTGTTTTCCATGTGTAGAAGATGTCACACACAAATATAACAGGCAGAAAAAAACAAGTTCTGACATGTACCACACAGTGACTCTCCATCAGCAATGGACTACACATGTGACAGTGGTCCCATGGGATGGTGACAGCTGAGAAGCCCTTGTCACATGATGCTGTAGCAACATCACTCTCTTCATATCTGTGGCTGTGCTTCATATCTGTGGGCAGAGCTAGTGTGCTGCTAGCATGCAAACTGCAGGGCAAGTCATCGTGCCAGCACGTGACACTTAGTAATAACGACCACGGCTATGGTATGCTCTGGCTTATGCATCTACCACACCACACGCTTCATGTTAGAGTGCACTCCTCCTACAAACAGTGTGCCGTGTCTTGCTGGCCACAACCTCGTGCACCTTGTTACTACCTCTTGGTGGCAGTGAGGCCACAGCAAGGCCACAGCAGTGACTGCTCCATATCTTCTAAGTGTGTGTAGGTCACTCTGTGACGTTCATATGAGGATGCAATTGCCTCACAGCATCTTTCTCAGATTATGTCCCACTTGTCATCAACAGGATGAGGAGCTGTACAACACAATTATGTCCCACTTGTCATCAACAGGATGAGGAGCTGTACAAACCCACCAGAGTGGGGGCACCTGGCTGCACTGACCTGTGAGTGGGAGGTTCACTGAGCATGAGAGCCTGGGGACTGTAGGGATATGCACAGGTCACGGAGGAAGACTGCCTGGGCCACTGCTGGCCAGCTCCTGTGTGCTGTGACTCACGTCATGTTTCATGGAGTCTTGTTCCATCTCCATTCTATGGACATTCATCACACTATGTAGCACTGCTGTTGACCTCATGCTTACAGACTGCACTGGTCAAAACCTTGATAGACTCAGGCTGACAGCAGGAAGGAGAACATTTCAAAAGAAATAGTAATGACAACTACTTGAGATACACACAATCACCCGCTTTCAAGGGCAGTTTCAGAGCACCATGAGGTCACTGAAGAGGACCTGCAGGGCCTGATTCATAGGAGGAGCCCCTGTTGTACTGGCAGCCTCCCCAGAAGAGAGTTGTGGAAGATCCACTTACAGCACATTGAGTGTGCGCAAGGACTGCCTAGGGGGTGACTCTGGAGGGCCATCAGAGCTCCTCTAGGGACTGAGGCTGTGCCTGAGGCCTTCCCAAGGCCCCCAGATGACACAGGTAGGAGTTCTGAGTCCACAGGTGCCAGAGTGGGTAAGGCAGAGCCATCAGCACAGAGTTAGCTGTTACACCAGCAGGTGTCTGCAGGTATCTGGAGATGACCCAACAGATGCTCCATGGCCAAATAGCAGGCACTCAGGTTCTAGCATCATTAACCCCTTGTTCACAGGTCTGGCCTCTAAAGATAGGGAGACTTCCCTGTGCTCTGTGTCTGACCAACCAAAACAAAACAGGAAACAGGAGCCTGAGACAGTAAGACTCAATAGCTTCCCTGTAAGGTGAGGTTTGCATGAACACACCACGTAAATGAGCTCCACAGACTGAAGGTGACTCTGCAGATCCCAGAGGAGCCCGTCCTGAGCATGTGCATTCTGCAAGTGGGCTGTGACAAAGGGGCCGTCTATCCCTCTCCAACATATAGTGCCTGCGCTGGGCTCGCTGTCACGAGACATTGCTGACTGCAGATGGCCGCCCCAGATGAGCCTTCTCACTTCCTCTGGTAACTGGTGGAAACTCCATCAGGTGAGTCATTTCTTAGGAACTGGCCAGAGCTCTGGAAAGTATACTGTGGGGTCAGCTGGCTCTGGGGGATGGGCTGGATGACCTCATACAAAAGTAGGTCTTTTCCATCTCCTAGGCCTATGACCTCACATGGCGGATGCCCAGACTGCACATTAAAGAAGGAAAAATAAACCCCAGCCCACTGCCAGGGTAGATGAGCTCCTCCCTGCCACTTTTCCTGGTCAATGACTTCTTTCTCACTTACCTCTACTCTCAGTGCAGGAGGAAGGTCACCTTGTCAGGAACTGGCACAAAGGGTTGGCCTTTGCCACCCACTTGCTTGTCACTTGATGTCCCCAGACAAGGCCCTCAGCCGCCCACAGTTGGGTCACAAACAGCCCCTGGCAGCGTGTATGTAGTTTCTAGGTCCCAACAATCTCTCTGAAATGTGATTGAGTTTATGGCCACCCACTATATAATGACGTCTTAATTAGTGATGGGCCTATATATGATAGGGGTCCCGTAAGATCACATGGCCTGGTGACACAGTGGCCATCTGATTTTGTACACCTGATCTGTGATGCTCCCACAGTGGTGCACTTCTCTGACTGTGTCCCCGCTCTCAAGCAGATACAGGACCGTGTTGGAAGTGGAGATGTACTGTGGACTGCAAGGCTCTAAGCTATGTAACCTGACTTCTTTGCACATGAGCTGAGAGCTGAGCCTCTAGAAATATACCTGCACTGGAAGTCCAAGTCCTGGCTAGAACTCTTGGTACTGAGGCTTCTGCAGGCCACATATGGGTCCTATAATTCCTCAGCCACTTGGCTCCCTTTAGTGGAGATTACTGTTTGTCTTCTTATTGTAAGAATAGTATGAGTAAAAAGAAAAAAGTTGAAGAAGGAAATAATTGTTCATGATCCAGATTATTGTCTGTCCCATTAGCATCCCTGTTCCCAAAATCCACAACCTGGACCTTCTGACCTGAGGCCACAGTGCAGCGTTCCACCCCTGGCTTTGTGAGACAGGCTGAAGCTGAAACACTGGTGCACCAAGAACTGTCCTAGGTCACCTTCAGACTCTGTGTGTAAGGTATATGTGAGACAGAAATGGATTTTGTGTTTAGAATCAGTTCCCCATCTCAAGAGAGCCCATTATGGCTATGCAAATCTTCACAGTCCTGAACAATCTGAAATGCATAGGACTCTTGTCCTGAGTACTTCAGAGAAGGGTGCTCAGCCTGTGTAAATCATATCTTTTCCCATCACCATATTCATATGCCCCCACAATATCCAGGAATATGGGATTAGAGTACACACAGTTTTGTTTCCTGTCTTTTTCATTCCCTAGCCATCCTGAATAGAAGCTCATAGTTAGGAAACCCAATGTCAGGCACCCAAACATTGTTTCAAGACTTCATATGTATCATCTCAGATAATTCTCAAACAAACCTATTTTATAAATGAGGCCAAGAAAGGCTGGACACTGGCTGGAACTCTGAGGTGCACTGAATCCAGGCTAAGCCAGTTCTAGAAGAAGCAGAAACACCTTTCTGACATCAGATTCAGAGGTCTGATGATGCACACACAGAAACTGCATGTTCCTGAAGAACACAGTGCAGACCTCACCAGGGGTTGGCAGGAGGGAAAGAAATGTCCCAGGGGTACTGGGTTTCAGGACCCGAGCTCTTGTCCATAGCCCTGAGCATTCACAAAAGCTCTCTGCTGAAAGGCGAGCTCAATAAGCAACTATAGATTTTTAAATACCCACATAATAAGGAGAAAAAAATAAATATATCCCCAATACTACATTTCAAAATGAAGTCAATAAAAGCAATGATTGATTATGTTTAGTATTTTAGTTCAACGAATGTGTATAAAGTCCTGCTATGTCAGTGTGAATGTTAGACTTAATACATATTTCAACTAGGACAGACAGGTGAACGCTGGATACACGTGACACGAGATCACAGGACCACAGGACCATCCCTCCAGAGGACCATCTCATCGACAGACCCTGTGTGGCCAACACTTATGTCTCCATCATCCTCACATGACTCTGCCCACAAGGACTATCTCCACGTTAGACTTCCATCTCCATCTTTCTGAAAGGAATCAAGTGCCTTGTTCCTATGCACAGTGAAACTGTGGCAAAGGTAAACATGTGTGTATATATATATATATGTTTTCCTTGGTCTTTGCCTAATAAGCAAAGTCATATATGCACCTATAATTCACCAGGGGCCAAAACCTCCTGACCACCTGTAAAATTTTGGGCATTTTATTACATAAATCATGAAATACAGAGTAGTTTCATTCAACTTTTGACTTGGAAAAAAGTCTCACTGAATTTTCACCCTAAATAATAGAACTCATTCCAAATGGCCTGTTAAGACCCTTGCCCTGTCTGCCAAAAAAAATGCACTTGGAAAATAATTAAATATTGCAAATCCAAAAGAGATCTTTATAGTTACTACGTATGCAGACAAAGAAAATTACCAAGTTAACCTTCAAAGCATTAGTACCTCTGGAATATTGGTAGCCTTTTTCCTTTAAGAGAGGGACTGAAGTAATTAAACAGCATCGTGTGCATTCCATATAACAGGATGGAAAGAATGGAGCTCATGAAGTCTGGCCAAACCTTAAAAACAGTTGTTCCCTCTGTGGCTCAGGATGACAAGCTGTCTAGTCATCCATGTTAATGTTGCCAGCCGCTGAAATAACCAGGGGCCTCTCCGATGAGCCCTCTCTGGTTGTGAGTCAAAGACCAGGCTCCAAACAAACACGTCCCCAAATCCCTGTTACACAAACAAAGTAACCAGGCAGCTTTACCTACTCAGAAATTAGCTTATTGGAAGTGCTTTAATTTTGGGGAGAAAGAAACATATAGCTCACATAGCAC